CTCTGATGTTTGAGAACACTTTATACTCTGATTATCTTTTGAACAAATCAACATATGATTTTTGGTGCTTAAAAATGAAATTTTCACTTGGTATTTATGGGACGTTACAAAATCATAATATTTGTTTAAGAGAGGCTTTGCACTAATGTTATAGGATTTTATTAAATAATAGTAAGTTTGGTCCTTCGAACTAGACTAAAAGGATTTGATTGGTACTATTAAGATCTTTACTGATTCAAGTTAATTAGCGGGGTAGAGTATCTATTTATGCTTTATTGCTACTGTGACAATATTCACCATATATGTGCTAATCAAATTGTAGTACCTCTCCACGTGTATCTAGATGTATTTATCCAGATTTTTCGGGTAGGGTACCTCATTACATATCGACCATAGTATGAATTTCAGTTAATGTAGAAAATAAACATTTTTAGGGCTTTATGGGTTGATTCCAATCCATTTATTAACTCCACTAGAGTGTTCTTTGACCCAATATCCACATTACATCATTCCTGAAGCCAGGACCAAATGCAGTTGGTGAATTCAAAATGCACAAACCATTATTAATGGATACATCTTCTTAAGGGAAAAGTTTGGAACTTGAAGGATTTGGTCGGTACTATAAACATCTTCATCTGATTCAGTTTAATTTATCGGGTAGACTATATAGTTATGCTTTATTACTAATGTGGCAATACTCACCATATACATGCCAATCAGCTTGTAGTACTTCGTTGAGTGCATCTATGCATTTATTCGGATTTTATAGGTAGGGTACCCCATTACATATCGACAATAGTATGACTTTCTGTTAATGTTGAAAAAGAAACATTTTTGTTTAGGTCTTTATGGGTTGATTCTTATCCATTTATTAATTCCACTAGAGTGTTCTTTGATTTAGTATCTGTGACAACCCAAAAGATTTGGATCAAACAAGGTCTAAATTGTAACCCTATTACAATAAAACCTTGAAAACCAAAAGGGCATAAGTGCATGTATATGGGTGTATACACTTTGGAAATCATATATAAGATAACCTCTTGAAAGTAAACAAGTTTATGAAGGCAAGACTATACAAATAAATTGGAATAGGAATCATGGATTTAAAATATTGTTTATTAGTATTTAGCCTAGTATCCCACCCACACTAGAACATTTGAAAGCCATAAGTACATTGATTTATAAGCTAACATATACGTATTTAAATATGTGTAAATAAGCTTTGAGGAACCATGTTTAAATGCATTTCTTGGCAAGTCAACAAGATAGCACACAATAAGCATTTCCTTTATGAATTATGGTCTAGAACTCCACTATGGCTGAAAACACCCTGGTGGGGACAAGTTAGGACCAAAAACCCTTTCCATGAGGGACCTCAAGACTGAAATCAACCCAAAAACCAAGCACCATGGCCGAAAACTACCTTAATGAATCATGTTTTAGCCGAAAACTCTAAGGGAAAAGACTTAGAACCGAAATCACCCTTAATGGGCCACACTTTGGCCAAAAACACCTTTAATGGGAGATACATGAACCGTAAACCCTTCCATGGGACACACCAAAACCGCAAACAACTTCATACTAGGCTATTTTAATGAGGTTTGCGGTCCAGAGGAGGAAACAGAAAAAATGGTTGACTTTAGGATGTGATTTCACCCCCATTTCCAATGTAATCACAGTAAACCACAAAGTATCCTCCAAATATCCATACATTACCCTTCAGTTATCCAAGCAAACTTCACATCAATACCACTCATTTTATTTGAACGAGATTAACCTCATAAAGCCTCACCATTTCTTCATTCAACTCCCTGCTAAGTTTCTCATTCTCTCTAGAAAACTATTCCCAAGTGTCCAAGGAATTAAGCCCCAAGTTCATCCCTGGATTTCTTTGGTAAGTGTTTTCATAATACCCTAGTGTTTATATATGATTATATGTTAGTTCCACCATTTTTACACACATATTTGTGTGTTGATATTGTTAGTATAATAATCATTCTTAGAAGTTCATCCACTCCAACCAAGTGCCAAGCTCGAAATCTTGTTCTACTTATTTCGAATCATCCACCAAACCAAACCAAGGTGAGTTCATACCCCCATATTTTCAAGCTTTTTCCATGTTTTAGGGGGGTAATACAAGTAAAACTTTGTTTATCCCACAAATAATTACACATTTTCACCTTTATGTTAAAGATAAAATACTATTTGCGTAGGTTATGGTTTATACTAGTTTTAGTATACATATTTGTGATATACATATTGTTAAAACAAACATAATCTATGTTATAAAATCATAAGAAAAGTTATGATTTGTAAAACTACATGGCTTTTGGGAAGTTTTACTAAAAGATAGCTTTACTAACAAAGAAATGGTTATATTATAGTCATTTATTAATCTAGTGGGTTTTAACCCCAAAATATTATGTTTTGATTTCATATTTTCATGATAGAATACATAATTATATTTATATAAAAGATTATATAAATAGTTTCAAACCAACAAGATAAACTATAATTGGTATAGTTTGGAAGTCACTAACCACACCTTTCAAAGATACATTTAATCATTTAAAGGTATAATTATCTTGTTTTGCAAGTAAAAGGGGTCATAATTCACATAAATCTGTTAATGCTCTTGTGAGACTTTCCTTCACCGTACCTACCTAGAATACACCTTAAGTCCTGCATTATAACCAGAGTCTTCAATAGGGAGAGCGAGACTGTTGTGTATAGATCTATATGGGATTGACAACCCCACACCTCAGCTGTTCGCTACAGTTAGACCAACAAGTCTAGGGTGACAAATGTCTTACCGACTCCGACGCCTGAAGAACGTCGTTTCAGGCATATCAGTCATATTAGTATGGTTATAACAACTCACATAGGGATTAGCAAAACTAATTGGTTTACGGGAAGCTTATACTTCATTAGTTTTATAAAAAAGATATGAAACTATATACTATTTTCTGTACGATATTCACTTCCATCTTGGTCTTAGGGTTTAAGACTATAGTTCACCTTTCAGAAAATACTGGATTTTCTAGAAATATACATTATTACTTTACAAGGAAAAGATACAAAGGAATTACTTATAATTTCAGTCCATATTAAAGAAAATATCGGATTTTATGGAAATATACGAAACCATATTTCGCGAAATAGTTACATACCCTTTTTATGCAAAAATGCTTATGAACTCACCAACTTAATTGTTGACACTTTTTAAAATCACATGTATTCTTAGGAAACCAGTAGACAGGTACTCAACCCTTCTTGAGGGTCGGCGTCGTCGTCTCATGTTTTTCCTACTTTTCAGTTATTTGTATTCAACTTTTGAACAACAGATTTTTGTAAACAATGTAATACTTGAAATCTCAATGTATGAATGTTTGTGTTGCTATGTTTCATTACTATTCAATTGTTATGATACTGTACATAAAGTCACTCCATCCGCCCCCAGACGTTTCCGCCGTTCTGGTTTGAGGGTGTGACAGTATCCACATTACACCGGCCCTGAAGACAATGCACATACGGTTGGTGAATTCAAAATGCACAAACTGTGATTAATAGATACATCTTTTTGAAGGAAAAGTCTGGAACTTAAACTCCCCTTCGTTGAAGTTTATAAGAAGTGAATCATGTTTTTTGCGAGCTTCAATGAAAAATAGTTAACGCAAATAGGAACCTGTTAGATTAGTTTAATACATCTTTTCTTGTAGTGTTTAATGTCACTTTTCATCACATTTTATATATTTATGTTTGTTTCAGTGTAAGTAATGTACATATTATGTTTTTCACCAGAATGCTCGTATCGTTCATGCTTTGATGTCAATTTCAAGTAATTTGAAGTGGACTGCTATTCTAGAGGCATTTTACATGCATCTTGGAGCATATTGTAACATCCTATTTCGAGAAGTTTCTTATTTCGGGATTGTGGACTATAAATGGATCAAGTAAAGGCCTTGGCCTTCAAGGGAATAGGGTTTGGACCCTATTGGATGTTGATAATATTGTTTCTAGGATCTAACCCCTTGGTTTGTGTCTTGAAGTCAAAGGGTAAAATGGGAAAAGTGATGTTTCAGACTTCTTTCATGAGTTACGGATTTAGTTCGGTGTGTTTTAAGTCAAATGTATTAGATATATTTGTGAGGCTTCTCAATACCTTTCTGTGCATATAAAGATCGCCGAAAACAGAGTTGAAATGAAGAAGTTATAACGAGGTGAGACGTAATTCTCACAATGTGAGGAGCCTGTTCTCACGAGGTTAGAAGTAATTCTCACAATGTGAGGAGCCTGTTCTCACGAGGTGAGACATAATTCTCACGACGTGACACTACTAGAAAAACAGCCTTTTACGACGCACAATGCGAGTTGTAAAACGCTCAGACGACGCGCAAATGCATGTCAAGGAAGGCCTTGTCATAATGAGAGACGACACGCGTTTGCGCGTCGTCTATAGAGGACGCGCATTTACGACGCACATTTATGACGCGCATTTACGACGCGCATTGCGTAACAAGGAACCCCTGTCGTAAAGGAAGACGGCACGCATTTGTGTGTCGTAACCTTACGACGCATGTTTAGGACACGCATTGCATGTCATTAAAGCCCCTGTCATAAATGAAGATGACACGCATTTACGTGTCATAAACTTCAGCAAGCATTAACGATATACATTTACGATGCATCTTTACGATACTCATTTACGCATAATACAAAAATATGGAAACAAATATATACCAAAACAATCAATTTCATCCATAGCATCATGTCAAAAAATTGTAATACATTGGTATTAAGGGGAACCGATTGTACGTTGTTATTAAGAGGTTTTCCCTAACTATATAACTTAATACTACATTGCTATTAAGGAACACCTTCTTGTTTCTACTTCTTATTGTTATGCTTCTGTTTCCACATGATACATGTTTTCATCATCAACACATTAGTATTCAGAAAGGCTTCAAGCATCATCAATCTATGTTATAAAATATTAAAATTTAATACACATGTAGTAACATACCTTTTTCCAAGAATCCAATCTTCAATACAGCCCATACCTATATAAAATATTAAAATTTAATACAGATGTAGATTATAAAAGTTAATATGAAAGAGTGAAATAGTGATACTTTCCCAAAAAAAAGCAACACTTTCTATTCTATTATATTATACTGCTTCAGTTAACTTAATATAAACCAAAAAGAATCAAATACAAAATATGAAAGTGAAAGTGAACAAGGGGACATACTTACTTTTAATAAAACACGAAAAGAAAATGGTATAACACCAACAAAGATTTTCTTTGTTCTTGATACACCTCTACTACCCAGCATATCCTCTCTTGGAACTGTCCACTTCACTTCAACCTAATTCAAGAACACATCAAAAAAGCAAAGGAAGTATGTTCTAAATACCAATTAGAGAGAGCAATTTCAATCAATTTACCCAATAATGTATCGGTTTGGGATATATTTTATCTCCAAATGGATACAATGTAATCACTTAGCTAAAGATAAAACAAGCCAAATGGACAAAAAAGTGATGGTTGGTCAGCCCAACTCGACCCTAAAATTTACCCATTTTGTGACCCTAATATATTTCATTTCATATAATATAATCATGAAAAGGTATCTTACTAGTCTACCATCTATGACATGATCTTGCTCCAAGACTTTATCTGCATCAGTAGGATCAGCAAATGTTACAAACCCAAATCCACGTGGTCTCCCAGAAATTTTATCCATCATTATCACAGAATCCATAAGTTCCCCATAATGGCTGAAGTTACTGCTAAAGGATTCTGGATATGAGAAACAAAACATAGATTGATTAGTTATGGAGAAAATTCTTCAGTTATTAAAGGAAGAATTATATGACATAAACATGTCAACATGATATACTAAAGAAGAGTATCATCAAGAAATTAAGTTGCATTAACATACCTTCTGAAGTCTCCCAAGCAATGCCTCCAACAAAAAGTTTTCTACCTGATGTTAACTTTAGAAAATTTAGAAGTTAACTTTCAAACTCATAACACAATGGCCATCTTTTTCATATCTTGGGCGAACACTGGAAATTAGAGAACTAGTCATGAATTCATGATAATGTAATAAAATACATACCAACACATTGAGATATGTGACAAGCATTCCAGACAAGACAACAAGGTTGTCTCGTAAGTCCCTAAATCAAGATAACAAAAAGGAAATTAGCCTCACTAACAATGAAAATACATCAACATTTTATCATATTTGAGGGTTTTGAATGTATTCATGACATAGCTGATGTTCAAGATAAAGATAACTACCCTAAAACATGGCTTTTCCAGTAGAGTTGAACCGGCCCCTTCATATAAAATATGAAAGAGAGTATTCACCACAAGAGTTATGAGGGTCACAACCTGCATAAAAAAGTAGGTCAATAATTCAGAATACCTGCACATACAATTTTATCATTTTTAGGTGTGATGGGAGCATGATAAGGACATGGACATTCGATGAATTTCTATAACAGATAACAATTTTTTTCCAATCCATCACTTGTATGCCTAGTTCATTTATGGACCATAAGAAGACCATCTACAGCAGGGGGAAGAGAAGCATCAGGTTCTTCCTTTCTAGATATCATCACCTTATATAACACGGTCAATCAGTTACATACACATCATCAACACCTAACATTTCTACAAGAAATAGTTATGGTCTTATGGAAAAGAAACTTACAGCTCTTTCTGTTATTATTCCTGGTGGAGCATCAAGAATCTTGATGCGGGCCCCTGTCTCCTCACACATTTTCTTGATGAATTCGCCTTTTCGTCCAATAATACTTCCCACTTTTTGTGCAGGAACCATTATCCTAAAAACACTCTCTCCAGACCAAAATTAACTATGTCAATTGTCCAATGAGGCAGTATAATGGTATAATATTTAAAGTTGGCTCTCGCTGGCAAACCAATCCTACTCAAAATTTGATTTCATATTACATATAATTTTAAAGAAAATGTAGAACTTACAGTTCCATACCTGCAGAATCATATTGTTGAAAAAGGAACCCAACATTTTTGCTTTCTGATACAAACATGCATTGTTCATCAAACATTAGTTTATGAACAACTGTTACAATCATACATCATACAGACTAAACTCTACACCTTTCTGCACTCTAAAATGTGAGAAGAAATACTTAAAATGTATTTTGGTAATAAAAATCTCACTCCTTCTATTCTCGTAGGCATGGAACCTGCTCTACATTTTCTTTAATTCTAGCCAACAAATCTCAACAGTGTGTAACATGGGTTTCTACAAATAAAACTGGAGCAACTTTGTCCAAGCAGGTCCGAACAATCATAAAATAATCACACAATATGTAAATAAAGAAACAATATACAAATAGAAAAATAAGGATTGTGGTACATGTTCAACAATTGATATGACGTCTACATGACAACTTCCTTGAGTAAATCCAGCACCACAATCCCCTTTCGGATTACCAAAGCTAACCAAGCCAACAGATGAAATTTTCCAGCCTTGATCACATGTCAATCGGAGTTGAGGGCTTTGAGAACTGGAATTGGACCATATTTGAGCTGGTTGACCATATTTCTTTTGACATTTGTGTGAATTATAAGTTCCTCTGTAGTCACAATTATATGTACACCCTGTTGCTGGTGAAAGGTAAGTAGACCAGTATCGTCCTATGCTCTGCCCGTTGACCCAAGCTTAATCCTTTCCCATGCTAGAAAGCTTCACGGCCTTCAACAGTGATTTCTCTTCGTGTCCTGTATTCTTATACCTCGCTTTCGTACATTTAAGCAATAGCTGGAGACTCCACGTAGAAGTTCTTCTTGAAAGGAGTCAACCTATGGCATAATACTCGAAATTCAGAAATCCTAGATATATAAACCATGCTTCGTGAACCCCATCGGAACAGATAAGGAACTCATAATCCATGTGGGTTGGCGAAGGAAAAGGGGGGAGAACGAACTAGGGCTAGAATCGAAGGAAATATCTTTAGAATTAAAGACAAAATTTAGTAAATAACCTACCTGAGCAGCATTGTACGAGTATATGGTAGCATCTTCTAAGTCGTTTGTTTTGATTTTTCTTAGATCAACTTTTTCTCCAAACCCTATTAGTTGTTGGTACCGATTTTAAGGTTTCACATGGAACAGGAGAGAGGTGGTGATGGAGAAGATGGTAGGGCAGCGTTGGATGGTAGGAATGGTGGTGATGGTCGATTGTGTTGAGGTTGCAGCTGGTGAGATGTAGGTGCGACGACCATGGTGGTGGTGCAAGATAGTGGTGGTTTGTACCATGGAGGGGAACTGTAGAGAGAGAGAGAGATAGAGAGAGTCTGATCGAGGTGAGCGTTTCAGTGGAATGAGGTAAGGTGAGCGTTCATGTGGAAGGAGGAGACGCAACAGGCAGGGTTTTTAATTTTTTGGATTTCATTTCCCCCTAGCTATTAAAAAACGAAAACGCGTGCTCATAGACTAAAATTATAAAGCGACACGGTAACACGACACGCTTTTTAGGATAGGTGCCCTCCGTGTTTTTAATTTTTTTTGTTGGACACTAATTTTAGGGCACACACAAATGCGTGTCCTCTATCCTTCAAATTTTTCAAAACTGACATTATTTTTTAGGGTACACACAAATGCGTATCCTCTATCAGCACGTGTCATTGTTTGCGCGTCATTAAAGGGCAATTTTCTAGTAGTGTGAGAATTGTGCAGCCTAAGCCCACAAAATATTAAGGTTTTCAAGGGATTTAAAGGTAAGGATTCATGTTTTAGGGTATTTTCTTAGCCCCCATCATATCTAGAACCTCTTGGGAGAAACCCTAGCCTCCATTTTCAAGATTTTAGCCTCCCCTCTCCTTTCTCATCCATTTTTGCAGTTTTAGTGGTTTTGGAGCAAAATTTTCATGCAAGATTTATCCTTAAAGCTTGCAAATTGAAGCACTCAACTTTCATCTACCTTATAGACCTTTGTAAGTTACAAAGTTCCAAGCTTTATTGCATTTCATCTTAGATATGAGTGTATTTGGTGTTTTGGTCCATTTATATGAGTTTTGAGTAAGAGTTGGGAATAAAGTTTGCAACTTTATTACTCTCCTAGGTCCCAAGAACATTGTACGTTTCAGTTATGCAAGTTATCTTCGTCATTTAGAATGTTTTCTTGGACCTCATGGACTAGGAACCTTTTGATCTTTTTTCCTTCCCTTTCATCTATGCAAGTTATCTTCGTCATTTAGGTCATTTTGGTGTATTAACGTTTAGACATTGGAAGCTTGAGGCATTCTTATGAATAAAGTGGGAAACTTTGTCCATCTAAGCATCATGTTGATTCAGATCTAAAGGTTGGAGACTTGGACTTAATGGATTTAGTTGAGAAAGATGCATTCTTGGTTCCTTTGAGACTCAAAGACTAGATATTGGTTGTTTGGACCATCCTAATAGATAAAGTTTGAAACTTTATCCATTATGAAGCTATTTAGGAACTAGACCTGAGGTTATAGGCAAACATTGGTTGTGTTTCCTTGACACGGGCCATGTTCCACCTACGAAGATTGAGTGGGAACAATTTTCATTTTTCTATGATGTCTGTAAGTTGCGCCTGACAAACATGACCTGGCCACAAAACACAAGTTACGAATAATGGTCGTGTTCTAAGGCCATGTTTCTCACCCAAGATGTTTTTTCGATTTTTTTCAAATAAATTTTAGGGTTTATATAATGTGCCTAATTAACACGGCCTAGACACCAATCACGGGTTGTGAATAAAGACCGTGTAATACCCTTTTTCACTTGTAATGGTTATTAATTGTAAGACTTTGTTTATAAAAATGAAAGTGAAACAATGTTGCTTCTTAGCCAAAGTTTACAAGATGAAAGTTGTAGTAAACATCGATACAAACGAGTAGATATAAAGAACATCGAAAACGGAGTTCGTATGAAGAAGTTATGATTTTTATAAATTTTGGTGAATTTATAAAAGGCATCGTCATGATGTCCCCCATGTGTCGCGACGCGGTGAATGAAATGCACCTGACTCATCACATTCAAGCTTCTATGCGCAAAAGAAAGACTAGACAGACCAGTGGGCATGAAGCACCCATTTATAAAGCGTGGCACACTTTTGTATTTTCACCCTATAAAAGGAGGGTCACCCCTCCTCATTTAGTTGCCCCATTCTCTTTCAAAACAATTTCTCTCTCTCTCTCTCTCTCTCTCTCTCTCTCTCTCTCTCTCTCTCTCCCTCCCTCATTTAAGCATTTCGGTCCCTCGTTATTTGACTTCTCGTTCTGTAATCTAGTTGGCAAAGTTATGAAAGTTTCGAAAGGAGATAAGAAAGTAGGCGTCGAATTTCATCTCGTGGTTATTCAGATTTCATCAAATCGAGTAAGTTACACTTACTCCTATCTATAGATGGTTATATTTATAGTTGTTGTTATGAACCGTATAAGAGTTATATTAGTCATTGATTTAAGTTATTTACTTATTGGTCTACTTACGAGAGAGGTGTCTAGGATAGACACATTAGCTTGGTTGTTGGATATCAGAAAATCTATATGTTGAAATGGCCCTGCTTCCCAACTGTCTTGACCGGTTGATCCTTATTTGATAACAATGAAGGTATATTTTTGGGATTGATGAAGGATCTGAGTATTAGCTGTTATGCTCATATATTCAGTAATATAGTATGTTATAAGTTGTTGCATGTTGGTTAAGCTTTCTATAAACCATCTTTCTTAGCTTCTTCGGGACTGTTCAAGTCAGTTTTCTCACTATATTATATATTATCTTATGTGTCCTTTGTATGTGTATATTAGGATGTTGTTATGTTGTAGTGTATTGTTAAGCAAATAGACTAAATAGTTAACTGTCTATTGAAACAACCCAAATTTTCAAAATAATTTTTTTCATTTTTAAATAGTCAAAAACATTCCCAATAAACCATAAAATCTCGAGTACATTTGTTTTCAAATTCATAACATCAACAATATTATTCCAAACATTAGAGTGTACCATAAAAACCGCCTGAGAGAGAGTGCATGTCGCGTCATCAAGCCTTGCCCTTGCCCTTAGGCTCAAATGTACCTGAAACAAATCCACAAACTGTAAGCTAATGCTTAGTGAGTTCCCCAGAGCATACCCCACACAATCAACGTAATCACATAATCATATTAGCTATAAAAGCTACATAAACCACATAAGCCATGCATACAACATATAGGGATGCCCTGGAAACCCTCCAGGGTCTTACTCCGGGTGCCATGGGAACCCCCCCACATGGTCTTAGCCCACTACCATATAAACCAGACATACAAACATATCAGGATGCCCTGGAAACCCTTCAGGGTCTTACTCTGGGATCCATGGGAACCCCAACATGGTCTTAGCCCAGGGATTCCATGGAAACCCTCCAAGGTCCTACACCCAAGTGCCTCGGGAACCCCCCGCGGTCTTTACTAAGGATGCCATGGAAACCCTCCAAGGTCTTACACCCAAGTCCCTCGGGAACCCCCCGAGGTCTTTCATGGAAGTACTACAATCACAACTAGCATACCATATATTCCATAACCAACTAGCATGTCACATAACAGATAATGGGCCAGCCTTGGTGCCTTAGACCCATTGGTATGGTGAGGAGACTCACCTCTCGTGAATGCTGAACTGACAAGATAAGATCAGGTAAATCCCAACGACAGCTCTAATTCAACTGCCTATAATCATCATGTGATTAACTTGTCACAATCCCAAAATACCATAAATACCCTCAAGGTCAACCCTGGTCAAAGTCTAGGTCAACAGTCCATGTTGACCCCAACTCGTCGAGTGCATCCAACA